GTGCGTCAGGGGGGAAACCCAGGAAGACGCAAGGAGCAGCACGAGGGGACAACTTGTCCGCAGACAAGTCGCGGACAAACGCCCGAGATCCCCAGACACGGAACGCCGACGCATCGCTAACCTTCCCCGTCCACAGCAAAGCTGGGGATGTCTCCGGTCTGGAGACCCTGGGCTGAAGGTTGATCTGATGCGCGGCGTACCGAACCGCAAACGGCCACAGAAAATGGGGGGCAGCCGCATGCACCATGGACGTACGGGCGACTTCCATGACTATGCCGATGCGGCGCTCAGCAATCCCATTCTGCTGTGGAGAGTCCGGAAGCGTGAAGGTCTGGCGGATGCCTCGTGCACGACAGTAGGCTCGCAGAAGGCCGGAGGAGAACTCTCCGCCTCTGTCCGAGTGCAGACGCAAAACAGGAAAGTCCGAGCCGAAGCTCTGCCTGAGCTGGAGACGAGCTGCGCGGATCCAGTCGATCAACACCTAAGTGACCTCACCCTTGCTGCGCAAGGGGAAGACTGTGGTGTAACGCGAGTAGTCGTCAACCACCAGCAGGAAGTAGCGCTCGTGACCCTGTCCACGGACGCGGGCTGGGCCCCACACGTCCATGTGAAGCGTCTGCATCGGGGCCTCCGTCGGAGGAAACGTGGAGGAGTGAAAGGTAGCCCGCAGGCGACCCTCGACACAGGGGACATAGGGAGGGCCAGGCCCCTGAGGAAGGGGAGGGAGGGACCGGGGAAGACCAGAGACAAGAAGGCGAGAGGCCATGCCCCGGAGACGAGGCAGGGAGAGGTGACCCATGCGGTGGTGCCACAGGAGGGTCTCGTGGGACAGGAGGCGACACGAGCAGGGGGCAGACTCAGGACCAGACCTGGACGCTGCAGCAAACACCTGACCTGACGCAGCTACCTGATCAGACGCAGGAGGAGGAGACGGAACAGTGAGTGTGTACATGCTCGACCCCGGCCCACGTGTGAACGTGGTCAAGTGTCGACCCGTGTCCGTGTGCGTGCAGTGGGTGTCCCGTCGGCGCGCAGGGGTGAACTGGTCAACCCCTGCATCCTGTAGGTCAGCACCCGCCACCAAGATCGTAGAGAACGAGGGGAGGTAGAGACCGGACAGGGAGCCAGACGGGACCGCAGGGCACGGAAGGACAGTGGAGTAGCGAGCAAGAGCAGGACCCCCAGAGGGGTCCGCCAGGGAGAGTGCCACTGGCCGACTAAGTGGCGTGAGTGTGGTGCGGTCTCGAAAGAAGGAGCGAGACGCTCCTGAGTCAAGAGTGAAGGTGAGAGAGGGCAGTGCCGACGCAGTACCTGAGAGAGCAGACTCACCAGCACCTGAGGACATAGACTCACTAGCACCTAGAGCGACAGCCTCACCAGCACCTGGAGCGGCAGCCTCAACAGCACCTAGAGCCGCAGTACCAATGCCCGGGTCGGGCGGGAAACACCGGTAACAGTCACCCTCCTCACTAATAGTCACAGCATACATGGCACGAAGAATAGCATCAAAGTCAAGATCAAAGATAGCTACTCCTGCCCTAGACAGCTGGTCCCAGCGAGGGATCTCAGAGGCGTCAGGAAACTGGCGGCGCCAAGCGTCAGTCAGGCGGCCGAAGCAGCGCTGGGTGGAGTGTGGACCACCACACGGCTCACCCGCACGGTCGCCAGTGCGCAGGACGTAGGTGCACGGACCAGTACCCCCACCCCTCTGACGTGCAGCGTACCACTCACGGAGCTGCTGCGGGGAGAGAGTCTCCCGACCACGCTGCTGCTGCTGGCGCTGACCACCACCGGAGCCACTCCTCTGCGACGAGCCACGACCTCCGCCGCCGCCTCCGCCGCCGCCGCCGCCACCACCTCCGCTGTCACCGCCACTCCCACCGTCGCCGCCACCACCGCCGCCCTCGCCTCCACTCCCACCACCACCGCCGCCGCCGCCTCCGCCTCCACTGCCGCCGCTGACACCTCCCCTCCCGCCACCACTACCGCGACCACCCCCACCTCCTCCGCTGCCTCTACCGCCGCCTCCACCGCCCCCGCCGCCTCCACCACCGCCCCTGCCCCCCTTGCCCTTGCCAGGGCGACGTCTCCCACTGGGGGCAGATGCCGCACCGACCGACTCAAAACCAACTAGGTCGGCCGTAGCAGCAGAGGCGACAGAGGGCAGGAGGGGGGAGGGGGAACACCCCTCAAAGATGGGGGTGCGCGGGTCACCACGAGAGGCCCCTACAGCGAGAATGCTCTTCTCGGCCGCGAGGAGGGACTTCTCGAGGAGGTCAAGAGTGAGAGTGGTGGGGCAGACTGAGAGTAAGTCGTCCCTGACTCCGCGAAGGGAGTCAGGGAGGCGGGTGACAATGTAGTAGAGAGTGATGTACATGGGGGGGGGGGGGGGGGGTTCTTGGCGCAGAACTCAGCAGGAAGCGCAGCGCGGTAGCTAGCGTCACTAGTGCGCAGGTGGGTAATGAGGTCGGCGACTGTGGCAAAAGAAGCAAGGTCGGGAAAGAGGTACGGTAGCATGAGGCGGCTTAGTGCAGCAGTGGCAGGGGAGGAGTAGCGTGCAATAACGGCGTCGTACAAGGTCTGAGCACTCTTGTACGACCCAAAGTGTGCACGCTCAGAGGGAGGGAGGTGGCGACGCACAGCAAGACGTGCAGCAGCATCGCGTGTGGCCCACTGTGAGCAAACAGTGGCATCCTCAGTAGCAGCAGAGGCGGGAGAGGCACCAGAAGTGAGATCAAAGAGAGAGAGGCCGTCAGCTCTGTCGCACTGTAGGAAAAGCAGCAGGTCGTCTACCCACACGTCAAAGTCGATGGCTCTGCCCTCAGCGTCAAAGGTGAGGACACTGGGGGTAGCCATGACAGCAGTAGGGTGAGGGCAGTGCGGAGAGTAAAGCTCAGTGCTCACCAGACAAGGCAGTGCAGGCGGCTCGGGCGGCTCAGGCGGCTCGGCGGCTCGGCTGGTGGGCGGCTCGGGCGGCTCGGCGGCTCGGGCGGCTCTGGCGGCTCGGCTACAGGGGCGGCTCGGCTGCAGGGGCGGCTCGGCTGCTGGGGCGGCTCGGCTACTGGGGCGGCTCGGCTGCTGGGGCGGCTCGGCTGCTGGGGCGGCTCGGGTGCTGGGGCGGCTCGGCTGCGGGGGCGGCTCAGCTGCTGGGGCGGCGGGGCCGGGAGATGCAGCGGCGGGGCCGAGAGATGCAGTGGCGGGGCCGGGAGACGCAGCGGCGGGGCTGTCAGGTGCAGTGGCGGGGCCGGTAGGTGCAGCAGCGGGGCCGGCAGGTGCAGCAGCGGGGCCGTCAGAGGTAGTGGCCGAGCCGGCAGGCGTAGTGGCGGGGCCGTCAGAGGGGACGGCGGGGCCTTCAGGTGCAGCGGCGGGGCCGTGTGAAGCAGCGGCGGGGCAGGGAGAGGGGACGGCGGGGTCGTCGGGCGCAGCGGCGGGGCGGGCAGAGGGGACGGCGGGGCTGTCGGGTGCAGCGGCGGGGCCGGCAGAGGGGACGGCGGGGCCGTCGGGTGTAGCGGCGGGGCCGGCAGAGGGGACGGCGAGGCCGTCAGGTGCAGCGGCGGGGCCAGCAGAGGGGACGGCGGGGCCGTCGGATGTAGCGGCGGGGCCGGCAGAGGGGACGGCGGGGCCGCGTGGGCGGCGCTAGGGGGCCGCGAGGGCGGCGCGACGCAGCAGAGCCGCGAGGGCGGCGCGACGCGGCCGTAAGGCCAGCGCGACGTGGCCCGGGTCGCGCGCGTGAAAAAAAAAAGGTCGCGCGCGCGACTCGCGGGGGTCACAAGGGCAGCGCGAGAGGGACTAGGGGGGAGCGTGCCTCGGGGAGAGGGGGGCAGCGCCCAGGTGCACCACCTCTCTTCCCCACGCGCCTCCCTCCTCTTGCGCCTCCCTCCTCCTCGCGCAACTTTTCTCTGCGCACCCCCCTCCTCCGCGCGCCGCGCCGCCCTCTTTCCCGCGCCTCCTTCCCGGCTCCCTCCCTTCCCCAAAACCAGGGCTGCGCGCTGCACGCGGCCCTTTCTCCGTACCACCGCCCCACCCCGCGCCCTACTTTTTCTGCGCCCTGCTGCTTCCGCATCTCCGTTCCCACTCCATCCGATTCTGTGAGTGACTGCGGTGGGGAGTGGTTTGAGTGACTGCGGTGGGGAGTGGTTTGAGTGACTGCAGTGGGGAGTGGTTTGAGTGACTGCGGTGGGGAGTGGTTTGAGTGACTGCGGTAGGGAGTGGTTTGAGTGACTGCGGTGGGGAGTGGTTTGAGTGACTGCGGTGGGGAGTGGTTTGAGTGACTGCGGTGGGGAGTGGTTTGAGTGACTGCGGTGGGGAGTGGTTTGAGTGACTGCGGTGGGGGAGTGGTTTGAGTGACTGCGGTGGGGAGTGGTTTGAGTCGGTGCGGTGGGGAGTGGTTTGAGTCAGTGCGGTGGGGAGTGGTTTGAGTCAGTGCGGTGGGGAGTGGTTTGAGTCACTGCGGTGGGGGTTGGTTTGAGTTAGTGCGGTGGGGAGTGGTTTGAGTCAGTGCGGTGGGGAGTGGTTTGAGTCAGTGCGGTGGGGGGTGGTTTGAGTGACTGCGGTGGGGAGTGGTTTGAGTCAGTGCGGTGGGGAGTGCTTTGAGTCAGTGCGGTGGGGAGTGGTTTGAGTCAGTGCGGTGGGGAGTGGCTTGAGTCAGTGCGGTGGGGGTTGGTTTGAGTCAGTGCGGTGGGGAGTGGTTTGAGTCAGTGCGGTGGGGGGTGGTTTGAGTCAGTGCGGTGGGGAGTCGTTTGAGTCAGTGCGGTGGGGAGTGGTTTGAGTCAGTGCGGTGGGGAGTGGTTTGAGTCAGTGCGGTGGGAAGTGGTTTGAGTCACTGCAGTGGGGAGCGGTTTGAGTCAGTGCAGTGGTGAGTGGTTTGAATCACTGCGGTGGGGAGTGGTTTGAGTCAGTGCGGTGGGGAGTGGTTTGAGTCAGTGCGGTGGAGAGTGGTTTGGGTTTCTTGGCAGTGGTGTGGGTCTCTGGGAAGTGGGTCCCTTCCATGTGGGGCCGCCATGCCTTCCGTCCGTTTTTCCTTGACCCCTTTTCTTAGGGGGGGCTTGCCCTTCGCGCTTGCCTGCCTGCTTGCCTGCCTGCCTGCCTTCCTACCTGCCTGCTTGCCTGCCTTCCTACCTGCCTGCCTGCCTGCCTTCCTACCTGCCTGCCTGCCTGCCTTCCTACCTGCCTGCCTGCCTGCCTTCCTACCTGCCTGCCTGCCTGCCTTCCTACCTGCCTGCCTGCCTGCCTTCCTACCTGCCTGCCTGCCTGCCTTCCTACCTGCCTGCCTGCCTGCTTTCCTACCTGCCTGCTTGCCTGCCTTCCTACCTGCCTGCCTGCCTGCCTTCCTACCTGCCTGCCTGCCTGCCTTCCTACCTGCCTGCCTGCCTGCTTTCCTACCTGCCTGCCTGCCTGCCTTCCTACCTGCCTGCCTGCCTGCCTTCCTACCTGCCTGCATGCCTGCCTTCCTACCTGCCATGCCTGTCTGTCTGCCGTGCGTTGTGCCCTTCAGGCTGGTGGCGATGCTAGAGGGAATGGGGGGGGCGGAGGGGGAAGAGGGGGCGTGGGGCGCGGAGGAGGTGCAGCAGGCGGCGGCGGCGGTGGGCAGTTTGGCGTGCGGGCTGCCGGAGGGCGTGCATGCCGTGCTGGCTGCTGGGGCCGTGCTGCCGCTGCTGCGCTGCTTGCTGCACCCCCATGCCAAGGTGATGCCCGCATGCCAAGGTGATGCCCGCATGCTAAGGTGATGCCCGCATGCTGCCATGCCATGCCATGTCCACATGCCACGGATGGACATGCCATGGGCACCACACCACATGCACGCCCGTGTCTGCCCCACTTCGCACCTCTCTGAACCTCTCTGCACCTCTCTGAACCTCTCTGCACATATTTTTAACACGCAGGTGGTGGAGGCAGCTGCAAGGTCACTGCGTTTGATCTTCCAGTCCACTCATGTGCTGCCACGTGGCAGCACTGCTGCAGGCGATTGGCTTTCCCCTGCCCTCAGCCTGCTGCCGCCCCTACTCGCCTCCCCCAACGAGACAGTCGCAGAGGTGATTGTGCATCTTGTTACTGTGGTAACCAGACTGTGGTAGCCAGACTGTGGTAACCACATTGTGGTAACCAGACTGGTAACCTAACCAGACTGTGGTAACCAGACTGTGGTAACCAGACTGTGGTAACCAGATCGTGGTAACCAGACTGTGGTAACCAGGCTGTGGTAACCAGACTGTGGTAACCAGAATGTGGTAACCAGACTGTGGTAACCAGACTGTGGTAACCAGACTGTGGTAACCAGATTGTGGTAACCAGACTGTGGTAACCAGATTGTGGTAACCAGACTGTGGTAACCAGATTGTGGTAACCAGACTGGTAACCACACTACGAGCATGGAAAGGAATCACCAAGCAATAATGTACACGTGCAGATTCCTCGCCTCGCGCACTGCACAGTAACCACACAGTGTGTTGTCAACCTCGCACCGCATACCACCATGCATATTCCTTCCTCACCTCTCAAGCCTAGGTCTCCTCTGCACTCCCCAGTCTTGCTTTCTCCCCCTCCCTCCCCCTTCCCCCACCCACCCCCCCCTTTCCCTTCTACACCAGGTGGCAGCGTGTGGGGCAGCGAGTGTGGCAGCGAGTGGGGCAGCGAGTTTGGCAGCGAGTGTGGCAGCGAGTTTGGCAGCACACTGTGTGCACTCACCGCAGCAGCAGGCAGCTCTTGGGGCGCCTCAAAAGCACCCCCCTCCCCCTGTCCCCACCCCTCCACCCCCCAACTCCACACACCCCCCCACTAGGTGGCAGCCAGTGTGCCAGCACACTGTGTGCACTCGCCACAGCAGCAGGCAGCTAGCAGCGGCAGGTGGGCTGCTGTCGCTCACACGCCTGCTCTCCTCGTCGCCCCGCTGCACCGATGCTGCTCTGCTCGCCCTCGCAGCAGTTGTCAGGGGCAACCGGCAGCAGGCCGCTGCTCTTGTAGGTGCGTGTGGGCTGGGCTGGGCTGTGCTGTGCTGGGCTGGGCTGGGCTGGGCTGTGCTGCTTGCTGCGTGTGTGCATGGCGGCCCTGCTCCTGCATGCCTGTCTCGCCGTCGGCTCAAACCACCGTCTTCTCACTCCATAATCAGCTGGCTCACTCACACACACTCTTCCCGCTTTTCCTCATCAACCCCTCCCTCTTCCCCCCTCTCCCGCTCTCCTCTCCCTTTCCCTCTCCCTCCCGCAACCCGCCCCTACGCACTCTCTTCCCCACGCGTGCTACAGACATGGGCGGGGGAGCAGCACTGGCGGCGGTGGTGAGTCTGACGCGCCATCCATCGCCCGCCACACGGCTCAACGCGTGCCGCTGCCTGCTGCACGTCGAGGCAGCCCTCTGGCCGCACGGCGGTGCCATCACTGCCGTGCCGCGCTCCTTCCTCCAGCACCCCGCTCCCGCCCTCGCTGCCCTGCCTGCTCCTGCAACCACCGCTGTTCCACCTGCCACCACCGCTACTGCCCCTGTCTGTGCTGCTGGCGCCCCATCCCCTGCCACAACAGCTGCAGCAGCGGCTGCGAGGGGGAGGGTTGAGCGGGTTGCACGCAGCAGCGGCAGCGGCAGCGCAAGCATTGCCAGTGATGGGAATGGGAGGGCGGGTGGGCGTGGGGGTGGAGTGAAACGGGATGCATGGGGCGGGTTGAAGGCAGGCGGGATGACCAAGGGCGATCGGAGCACGTGGTTGCGACAGCAAGGGCACGAGCAGGCGGCGTGTGGGCGGGAGAGTGAAGAGGGGCGGGCACAGCATGTGGTGTGTGGGGCGCTTTTGTCCCCTCGCACAGGGGCCCACGCGCCTGCCACCGTGCCCACACCTGCTACTACTGCCAGTGGCGAGAAGCTGATGCGTGTGGGGGTGGGTGTGGGCATGGGAGTGGGCGCGGGGGCGGCAGCGGCGGTGGATGTGAACGTGGCGGCGGTGGTGCTGGTGGCGCTCATCAACCTGCTGCCTCTTCCTGACCAAGTCAGCCCCTCTCTGCTCTGCACCTCCGCACTCTGCTCACGCCGCCTCCGTTCCTTGTTGCTCCTCCATACCGTTTACACCTCCTTCCCTTTGATGCGCCTCCATCCACCATTCCTGCCGTTCCCCTGGTACGCTCACCATTTGGAATGCTCTCCAGCTGTCCTTCATTTCTGCAACCTCTCCTTCCCCTCTGCAAACCCCTCCCAATGCCCCCTGCAAGCAAGCCCTCTTCTCTTCCCTGTCTTCCTCCCCCCTCCCCTCTCCCCACTAGGTGGGCGAGCAGGCGCCAAGGCTACTGCAGCAGCTGCTGGGCGGCAGGGAGGACGTGCAGTGGGCGGCCCATGCGGCCTCTGAGCTCGTCGCTCTGCTCCGCCCCGCCCCCACCACTGCCTCTTCTCCTTCCCCCATCACCTCCTCTTCCTCGCTTCCCATCCCCTCATCCTGTCCTGCACAAATTCCCACAAGTGGGGTTGCAAACATGACTTGCCTAATCCCTTCCAGCTAAAACGCCGAGCGACGCTCCATCGCTGGGAGTAGCCACTTGCGACGCCGCACCGGTGGTGCCAATGCGTCCGCCGCCATTACCCCCAAACTGGATGGTACTAACGATCACGTGTTGTATAAGCACAAGAAACGAAAGTTAGCAGAATGCTGCGGCGAATACCGGGCGTTGTGCGGCACACCTAGCTAAGTGGCCAGGCCAGGACAGGCGAAGCACCCGCACACACATGTGAAGTCTGACAGGCATCTCACCTTGGCTCCCATCACTTTAATCTCTGCAGATGGCCACGCGTAGTTGGCGTCGCCCCTTAGGTGCTTGGAGCTCATCACTGCACCGCGTGGGGTGGGATGGGGTGGGGTGGGGTGGGGTGGGAGGTCGAGAGAGGAGGGGCGAGGTGAGAAGCACGGCAAGGTAACATAGTTGGTGTCGCCCCTCGGGTGCTTAGAGGTCCTGACTGCAGGAAAGAGGGAGGTGGTTGACAAGAGCAACGGGAGCAGAAAGGTTGAGATGAAAGGAGAAGAGGCTAGCGATACCCCGCAAGTCCTTGGAGCTCATGCAGTGAGGTCATGCAGTGAGGTCATGTAGTGAGGTCATGCAGTGAGGTCATGCAGTGAGGTCATGCAGTGAGGTCATGCAGTGAGGTCATGCAGTGAGGTCATGCAGTGAGGTCATGCAGTGAGGTCATGTAGTGAGGTCGGGCAGTGAGGTCGGGCAGTGAGGTCGGGCAGAAGCATGTATGCATGCAGGCAGCACACCCACCACCTTAAACAGGCACTCAACACCCTCAACGCACCCACCTCTCTCACCGACATACGCTACATTACGCCTGGCGAGTAAAGACAGTGTGCTTTGGACCCGTGATCTCTGCATGTGCAGTAAGGAACAATACCACTGTATAGCCCCATCTCTACACATGGACACCATCGCGCACGCGCGCGCGCGCACACACACACTCACACTCATATGCCCCTCATACGCCTCTTCCTGCTTGTCTCACCGTCGTATGCCCCGCCATACGCCTTGCGAGTGATGACAGTGAGCTTGGGCACCGTGGCCTCCGCATACGTGTACAGCAGCTTCGCCCCCTGCCTGATGATGCCATTGTGCTCCTGCTCCGTGCCTGCACGGGCAGAGACGCACAGCACACACATAATACGCATTTATGTATCAGTAGTGGGTGCAGCAGCTTCGCCCCCTGCCTGATAATTCCGTAGTGCTCTTGGCACACATGACATAAGCATGCATGGACACGCAAGGACGCACATCAACGCACATCAGAGCAATCATGCACATGTATAAATTCGTGCAGCAGCTTTGCCCCCTGTCTGCCTGATGATGCCCCTGTGATTGTGTGACTATAGCCGGATGTGAGTCTTCAGTCGACTACAAAATCACCTCCGTGCAGGGGCAGGCAGATAAGCGCGAACACACACAGGAACACGTATGTATATGTATATATACTCAAGCACAGTTCCATGTGACGATAGATGGAACCATGGAATGGAAGCATGATACCTGGGAGAAAGCCTGGGACGTCGACGAATGTGAGGATGGGGATGTTGAACGCATCGCAGAAGCGCACGAAGCGAGCTCCCTGCACTCATGCGGTGTCAATAAATTCACACCATGCCATGCCGCAGCAAGCCATGCCATACAACGTTGTAGATACAAGTGTAATGGGTCACATGCCATGTGGTAACATGCCATACAATGTTGTAACATAGCAGTGCCATTGATCACATCGCATGCCATGACATTGCGTGCAGGGCAGAGATTGCGAGTTGAAGCACATGTGTGTTGTCAAAAGGGATGGACGGTATTAACAGTGACATTCCTTTGGTGCTTCACTGTTATGTTCAATGGAATGCAGTGTGCTTCACTGCCCGCAGCCCATGTTGTTCAGCCATTCTATGTTGAGCATTGGTTGGGGGAGCCGAGCAAAGGAAGTTGAGGAGTTTGGGAAAGCGGGTTGCTTGGTTTCACCCATGGCCTTACTATTTTCGCACTCTCAGTTCCCTTGCACTGGCAAATCAGTGACCTTCGCACATCCCAAAACACCAATCACCAAAACCCCTTCTAAAGAAACACACCGTCATATTTGGTAAGCTTGACCCGCACGATCCACGATTTGAGCCGCGGGCCTGCACAGGGCATTTTTTGTACTGTACCCTGGAAAAAATCTGGTTACGTTAGGTTAGGCGAAATCAGACTGGCCACCCCCTCCCTCAACTTTGCGTTCACCACCCCCACCCCCCACCCCCCACCCCAGCACTCAACCTTGCGCAAGATTAGTAATCTTAATTTGGGCCTCGAGCTTTAACCTTGTGACACCACAGTTAACCTTATAGCACCAAAATTTACCACACCAATTTCCGCCACCTTATGCTGTAACACATCCTAACAGTGCAAGTAACCATGTGACTCACGGTTCACTCACCTTAATGGAGGCGTTGATATCGAGGCAGCCAGCCTGCTCCTTGGGCTGATTCGCCACCACTCCCACCGTTCCCCCGTCCAGCCTCTAATGGCACACAGATCGGGGGAAGATGGAGATGGGGGGGAATTGGGGGGGATTGACCTTTGAGTCGACTCAAAAGGTCTCCGTGGGCTGATTCGCCACCACTCCCACCGTGCCCCGGTTCAGTTTCTGACGGTGCAAAGATGGGGGAAGGGAAATGAGAAGGCGTTGGGGAAACGATGGGTGGAAGGTGGGGGGAAGATGGAGTAAAAATGGGTGAAAGATGTGGAAAGACCGGGCAAGAAGAATGACAAGCTAGCAGGGACCAGTATTGATGCTGATAATCTATTGCTATCAAGCTTTTAGGATGACTCGTGTAGTGTTCAATCAGAGTAGATTCATCCTCTGCAGATGAGTGGGAGGATCGATCAGGATTGACCAGCATTGACCAGCAATGAACAGCACTGACATGCACTGACCAGCAAGAACATGCTTTGACAAGCAACGACCAGCATTGACAGCGTTGACCTGCATTGACCGACATGCATCGACTAGGATTGACCAGGACTGACTCACCGCGAATCCAATGAGGATGTTGCGCGCAAAGCCGCCCTGCACTTGAAACATCTCGCCATCATCCACCACCTGATGATGCCGAGGACGAGGAGGATGTGGGGGGAGAGGAGTCAAGGGTGGTGAGGGAGAGCGTGGGATTGCATGAAATGAAGTGGGCACTTGGAGACAGCCACCTGCCACCTCAAACATCTCCCCAGCGTCCAGGTGAAGAAGAAGGGACGAGCTAGACAAAGGGATGAGAGAGGGCGGCGAGGGTGTGTGGAGAGGAGTGTGCAACAAGGCACAGCCGCCCTGCACCTAAAAAGAATCTGCCCATCGTCCGCCAGTTGAAGAAGCGAGGCAGAGAGTAAGGGTTATGACGGGGAGGGTGGTGAGGATGGTGGGGGAGAGCGTGGTGTGTGTAGTGAAGTGAGAGGGTATCTCCATGGTCCACCATAGCATCCCGTCTCTCTCCCTCTGTTCCACCCATGCCATACGCACTCCCACGCAGTTCCATCCATTCATACAGTCACAACCAGTACAACATGTACTGATACACGTGCAACAGCCCCACCCTACCTGCTCTATGATTTCCATTCCACCATGCTGTATGCCGTGTTGGGGCCCTTTCAGCCTTCAATCCGCACAGTGCCACACAGTCACAGCAGCTATAGCCCATATGTACGGCTCACTACAGCTATAGCCCAGCTCGCTACAGCTATAGCCCAGCTCGCTACAGCTATAGCCCATATGTACGGCTCACTACAGCTATAGCCCATATGTACAGCTCACTACAGCTATAGCCCAGCTCGCTATAGCTATAGCCCATAGATACGGCTCACTACAGCTATAGCCCAGCTCGCTACAGCTATAGCCCATATGTACGGCTCACTACAGCTATAGCCCAGCTCGCTACAGCAATAGCCCATATGTACGGCTCACTACAGCTATAGCCCAGCTCGCTACAGCTATAGCCCATATGTACGGCTCACTACAGCTATAGCCCAGCTCGCTACAGCTATAGCCCATATGTACGGCTCACTACAGCTATAGCCCATAGGTACGGCTCAGTACAGCTATAGCCCATAGGTACGGCTCACTACAGCTATAGCCCATAGGTACGGCTCACTACAGCTATAGCCCATAGGTACGGCTCACTACAGCTATAGCCCATAGGTACGGCTCAGTACAGCTATAGCCCATAGGTACGGCTCACTACAGCTATAGCCCATAGGTACGGCTCACTACAGCTATAGCCCATAGGTACGGCTCAGTACAGCTATAGCCCATAGGTACGGCTCAGTACAGCTATAGCCCATAGGTACGGCTCACTACAGCTATAGCCCATAGGTACGGCTCACTACAGCTATAGCCCATAGGTACGGCTCACTACAGCTATAGCCCATAGGTACGGCTCACTACAGCTATAGCCCATAGGTACGGCTCACTACAGCTATAGCCCATAGGTACGGCTCACTACAGCTATAGCCCATAGGTACGGCTCACTACAGCTATAGCCCATAGGTACGGCTCACTACAGCTATAGCCCATAGGTACGGCTCACTACAGCTATAGCCCATAGGTACGGCTCACTACAGCTATAGCCCATAGGTACGGCTCACTACAGCTATAGCCCATAGGTACGGCTCACTACAGCTATAGCCCATAGGTACGGCTCACTACAGCTATAGCCCATAGGTACGGCTCACTACAGCTATAGCCCATAGGTACGGCTCAGTACAGCTATAGCCCATAGGTACGGCTCACTACAGCTATAGCCCATAGGTACGGCTCACTACAGCTATAGCCCATAGGTACGGCTCACTACAGCTATAGCCCATAGGTACGGCTCACTACAGCTATAGCCCATAGGTACGGCTCACTACAGCTATAGCCCATAGGTACGGCTCACTACAGCTATAGCCCATAGGTACGGCTCACTACAGCTATAGCCCATAGGTACGGCTCAGTACAAGAGCCACACCTGCTTGATGATCTCAACCATGTGGTATGCCGTGGTGGGTCTCTCTTCCCCTCCTACCATGCCATATGCTTCACATGTGCTTCACATGTGCTTCACTCACATCCATGGCACATGGGTCCCCCCACCCCACCTGCTCAACGATCTCCTTCACCGTGTCGTATGCCGTGCTGGGGTCCTTTCCTACAATCACAACAAGTATAGATGCAACAACCAGACCCCACCCCACCCCACCCCACCCCAAACCCCCTCCCCCCCACCCCACCCCACCCCAACCCATCCCACCCCATCCCACCCCATCCCACCCCACACCACCCCACCCCACCTGCTCGATGATCTCCACCATGTCGTATGCCGTGTTGGGGTCCCGCGGCACAGCAAAGTCCAGCGACGGCGACACACGGTTGCTGTCGCGTGGGTGGAGAATGCAAGAAAGGGGAGAGGGAGTGGGAGAGGGCGTGAGAGAGGGAGAGAGGGCCAGAAGAGGGGATTCTAGGTGTTGGGGTCACAAGAGAGAGCGAGTTGCAGAGGGGGCGGTTGCGGTTGGGTTGCTGTGGTGTGGACGAAAGGAGGGGCGAGGGAGGCGGGGAAGAGGGAGGAGGAAGGGGGGGTTGGGAGGGGGCGAGAGCGGAAATTGGACAAGGAGCACTGTGTCAGGGTCCTGGGGCATATTAACTTCCAGCGAAGAGAGGGGAGTACGGGAGCGGGACATAAGATTAGAGAGTGAGCACTGCGTTGGGGTGGCGAGGGACAGCAAAGTTCAGCGAGGGGAAGGGCTGCTGTGGTGGGCTTGGGGGAAGAGAGGGGAACGGGAAGGGCAAGGGGGAGGGAGGGGCATGGGGAGGGGGAGCGGGAGGGCGAGGGGGAGAACAGTGTTGGGGTTGCGGAGCAGAGCAGAGTCCAGTGAGGGGAGGACGCGGTTGCTGTGGTGTGAGGGGGGGTAGGGAACAGGAGAGGGAGGCGAGAAGGTAGAAGGGGCGAAGAGAAGCAGGGGAGGAAAAGGGAGGAGAGGCGAAAGAGAGAGGAAGGGGAGGAGAGAGAGGGAGGGGAGGGGAATGATGTGCGTTAATTGAACAGTGAGCACTCCGTTGGGGTTGTGAGGCACATCAAAGTCTAGAGAGGGGGAGCAAGGTCGCTAGAGTAAAAGGTGGAGAGGGAGGGGATGGGTGGGGTGGCAAGGGGATGGGAGTGGGGAGGGAGCAGACATGGGAGGATGGGGAGTGGAAGAGGGAGGGGAAGGGGAAGGCGGAGGTGGAGTTGAAGGGGAAGGGGAAGGGGGAGGGGAGGGGGAGGGCGAGGGGGAGGGGAAAAGCGGGGAATAGGAAGGAGGGAGAAGCGTGCGGGAACACATTGTTGGGGTGACGAGGCACAGCGCATCCATGAGCGGAGGAGATGCCAGTGCTGAGAGCGGATGCAGCACAGGTTGCTCAAAGGAGGGAGAGAAAGGGCGCACGGCGCGGGTGTGCATAAATGGAGTGAGAAACATGAAATAAGGGGATGAAATGAGAGGAGAAAGGAGTGACGAGTGTAGAGTGGAATGGTGGAGCTGGAGTAGTTTGACTCCAAGAAGGGGGTAAAATGAGATGCATCTCCAAGAAGGGGGTCAAATGCGATGCATCTCCAAGAAGGGGGGCAAATGAGATGCATCTCCAAGAAGGGGGGCAAATGAGATGCATCTCCAAGAAGGGGGTCAAATGCGATGCATCTCCAAGAAGGGGGGCAAATGAGATGCATCTCCAAGAAGGGGGGCAAATGAGATGCATCTCCAAGAAGGGGGTCGAATGAGATGCATCTCCAAGAAGGGGGTCAAATGCGATGCATCTCCAAGAAGGGGGTCAAATGAGATGCATCTCCAAGAAGGGGGTCAAATGAGATGCATCTCCAAGAAGGGGGTCACATGAGATGCATCTCCAAGAAGGGGGGCAAATGAGATGCATCTCCAAGAAGGGGGGCAAATGAGATGCATCTCCAAGAAGGGGGTCAAATGAGATGCATCTCCAAGAAAGGGGGCAAATGAGATGCATCTCCAAGAAGGGGGTCAAATGAGATGCATCTCCACGAAGGGGGGCAAACGAGATGCATCTCCAAGAAGGGGGTCAAATGAGATGCATCTCCAAGAAGGGGGGCAAATGAGATGCATCTCCAAGAAGGGGGTCAAATGAGATGCATCTCCAAGAAGGGGGTCAAATGCGATGCATCTCCAAGAAGGGGGTCAAATGAGATGCATCTCCAAGAAGGGGGTCAAATGAGATGCATCTCCAAGAAGGGGGTCACATGAGATGCATCTCCAAGAAGGGGGTCAAATGCGATGCATCTCCAAAAAGGGGGGCAAATGAGATGCATCTCCAAGAAGGGGGTCAAATGAGATGCATCTCCAAGAAGGGGGGCAAATGAGATGCATCTCCAAGAAGGGGGTCAAATGAGATGCATCTCCACGAAGGGGGGCAAATGAGATGCATCGCCAAGAAGGGGGTCAAATGAGATGCATCTCCAAGAAGGGGGGCAAATGAGATGCATCTCCACGAAGGGGGTCAAACGAGATGCATCTCCAAGAAGGGGGTCAAATGAGATGCATCTCCAAGAAGGGGGGCAAATGAGATGCATCTCCAAGAAGGGGGTCAAATGAGATGCATCGCCAAGAATGGGGTCAAATGAGATGCATCTCCAAGAAGGGGGTCAAATGAGATGCATCTCCAAGAAGGGGGGCAAATGAGATGCATCTCCAAGAAGGGGGTCAAATGAGATGCATCTCCAAGAAGGGGGGCAAATGAGATGCATCTCCAAGAAGGGGGTCAAATGAGATGCATCTCCAAGAAGGGGGTCAAATGAGATGCATCTCCAAGAAGGGGGGCAAATGAGATGCATCTCCAAGAAGGGGGTCAAATGAGATGCATCGCCAAGAAGGGGGTCAAATGAGATGCATCTCCAAGAAGGGGGTCAAATGAGATGCATCTCCAAGAAGGGGGGCAAATGAGATGCATCTCCAAGAAGGGGGTCAAATGAGATGCATCTCCAAGAAGGGGGGCAAATGAGATGCATCTCCAAGAAGGGGGGCAAATGAGATGCATCTCCAAGAAGGGGGGCAAATGAGATGCATCTCCAAGAAGGGGGTCAAATGAGATGCATCTCCAAGAACGGGGGCAAATGAGATGCATCTCCAAGAAGGGGGTCAAATAAGATGCATCTCCAAGAAGGGGGTCAAATGAGATGCATCTCCAAGAAGGGGGGCAAATGAGATGCATCTCCAAGAAGGGGGGCAAATGAGATGCATCTCCAAGAAGGGGGGCAAATGAGATGCATCTCCAAGAAGGGGGTCAAATGCGATGCATCTCCAAGAAGGGGGGCAAATGAGATGCATCTCCAAGAAGGGGGGCAAATGAGATGCATCTCCAAGAAGGGGGTCAAATGAGATGCATCTCCAAGAAGGGGGTCAAATGAGATGCATCTCCAAGAAGGGGGTCACATGAGATGCATCTCCAAGAAGGGGGTCAAATACGATGCATCTGCAAGAAGGGGGGCAAATGAGATGCATCTCCAAGAAGGGGGTCAAATGAGATGCATCTCCAAGAAGGGGGGCAAATGAGATGCATCTCCAAGAAGGGGGTCAAATGAGATGCATCTCCACGAAGAGGGGCAAATGAGATGCATCGCCAAGAAGGGGGTCAAATGAGATGCATCTCCAAGAAGGGGGGCTAATCAGATGCATCTCCAAGAAGGGGGTCAAATGAGATGCATCTCCAAGAAGGGGGTCAAATGAGATGCATCTCCAAGAAGGGGGGCAAATGAGATGCATCTCCAAGAAGGGGGTCAAATGAGATGCATCGCCAAGAAGGGGGTCAAATGAGATGCATCTCCAAGAAGGGGGTCAAATGAGATGCATCTCCAAGAAGGGGGGCAAATGAGATGCATCTCCAAGAAGGGGGTCAAATGAGATGCATCTCCAAGAAGGGGGGCAAATGAGATGCATCTCCAAGAAGGGGGGCAAATGAGATGCATCTCCAAGAAGCGGGTCAAATGAGATGCATCTCCAAGAAGGGGGGCGAATGAGATGCATCTCCAAGAAGGGGGTCAAATGAGATGCATCTCCACGAAGGGGGGCAAATGAGATGCATCGCCAAGAAGGGGGTCAAATGAGATGCATCTCCAAGAAGGGGGGCAAATGAGATGCATCTCCAAGAAGCGGGTCAAATGAGATGCATCTCCAAGAAGGGGGTCAAATGAGATGCATCTCCAAGAAGGGGGGCAAATGAGATGCATCTCCAAGAAGGGGGTCAAATGAGATGCATCGCCAAGAAGGGGGTCAAATGAGATGCATCTCCAAGAAGGGGGTCAAATGAGATGCATCTCCAAGAAGGGGGGCAAATGAGATGCATCTCCAAGAAGGGGGCCAAATGAGATGCATCTCCAAGAAGGGGGGCAAATGAGATGCATCTCCAAGTAGGGGGGCAAATGAGATGCATCTCCAAGAAGGGGGGTAAATGAGGTGCATCTCCAAGAAGGGGGTCAAATGAGATGCATCTCCAAGAAGGGGGGCAAATGAGATGCATCTCCAAGAAGGGGGTCAAATGAGATGCATCTCCAAGAAGGGGGTCAAATGCGATGCATCTCCAAGAAGGGGGGCAAATGAGATGCATCTCCGAGAAGGGGGGCAAATGAGATGCATCTCCAAGAAGGGGGTCAAATGCGATGCATCTCCAAGAAGGGGGGCAAATGAGATGCATCTCCAAGAAGGGGGGCAAATGAGATGCATCTCCAAGAAGGGGGTCAAATGAGATGCATCTCTAAGAAGGGGGTCAAATGCGATGCATCTCCAAGAAGGGGGTCAAATGAGATGCATCTCCAAGAAGGGGGTCAAATGAGATGCATCTCCAAGAAGGGGGTCAAATGAGATGCATCTCCACGAAGGGGGGCAAATGAGATGCATCGCCAAGAAGGGGGTCAAATGAGATGCATCTCCAAGAAGGGGGGCAAATGAGATGCATCTCCACGAAGGGGGTCAAACGAGATGCATCTCCAAGAAGGGGGTCAAATGAGATGCATCTCCAAGAAGGGGGGCAAATGAGATGCATCTCCAAGAAGGGGGTCAAATGAGATGCATCGTCAAGAAGGGGGTCAAATGAGATGCATCTCCAAGAAGGGGGTCAAATGAGATGCATCTCCAAGAAGGGGGGCAAATGAGATGCATCTCCAAGAAGGGGGTCAAATGAGATGCATCTCCAAGAAGGGGGGCAAATGAGATGCATCTCCAAGAAGGGGGGCAAATGAGATGCATCTCCAAGAAGGGGGGCAAATGAGACGCATCTCCAAGAAGGGGGTCAAATGAGATGCATCTCCAAGAAGGGGGGCAAATGAGATGCATCTCCAAGAAGGGGGTCAAATGAGATGCATCTCCAAGAAGGGGGTCAAATGAGATGCATCTCCAAGAAGGGGGGCAAATGAGATGCATCTCCAAGAAGGGGGGCAAATGAGATGCATCTCCAAGAAGGGGGGCAAATGAGATGCATCTCCAAGAAGGGGGGCAAATGAGATGCATCTCCAAGAAGGGGGTCACATGAGATGCATCTCCAAGAAGGGGGGCAAATGAGATGCATCTCCAAGAAGGGGGGCAAATGAGATGCATCTCCAAGAAGGGGGCAAATGAGATGCATCTCCAAGAAGGGGGGCAAATGAGATGCATCTCCAAGAAGGGGGGCAAATGAGATGCATCTCTAAGAAGGGGGGCAAATGAGATGCATCTCCTAGAAGGGGGTCAAATGAGATGCATCTCCAAGAAGGGGGGCAAATGAGATGCATCTCCAAGAAGGGGGTCACATGAGATGCATCTCCAAGAAGGGGGTCAAATGAGATGCATCTCCAAGAAGGGGGGCAAATGAGATGCATCTCCAAGAAGGGGGCAAATGAGATGCATCTCCAAGAAGGGGGGCAAATGAGATGCATCTCCAAGAAGGGGGTCAAATGAGATGCATCTCCAAGAAGGGGGTCAAATGAGATGCATCTCCAAGAAGGGGGTCAAATGAGATGCATCGCCAAGAAGGGGGGCAAATGAGATGCATCTCCAAGAAGGGGGGCAAATGAGATGCATCTCCAAGAAGGGGGTCAAATGAGATGCATCTCCAAGAAGGGGGGCAAATGAGATGCATCTCCAAGAAGGGGGCAAATGAGATGCATCTCCAAGAAGGGGGCAAATGAGATGCATCTCCAAGAAGGGGGTCACATGAGATGCATCTCCAAGAAGGGGGGCAAATGAGATGCATCTCTAAGAAGGGGGGCAAATGAGATGCATCTCCAAGAAGGGGGCAAATGAGATGCATCTCCAAGAAGGGGGGCAAATGAGATGCATCTCCAAGAAGGGGGTCACATGAGATGCATCTCCAAGAAGGGGGTCAAATGAGATGCATCTCCAAGAAGGGGGGCAAATGAGATGCATCTCCAAGAAGGGGGCAAATGAGATGCATCTCCAAGAAGGGGGGCAAATGAGATGCATCTCCAAGAAGGGGGTCAAATGAGATGCATCTCCAAGAAGGGGGTCAAATGAGATGCATCTCCAAGAAGGGGGTCAAATGAGATGCATCGCCAAGAAGGGGGGCAAATGAGATGCATCTCCAAGAAGGGGGGCAAATGAGATGCATCTCCAAGAAGGGGGTCAAATGAGATGCATCTCCAAGAAGGGGGGCAAATGAGATGCATCTCCAAGAAGGGGGCAAATGAGATGCATCTCCAAGAAGGGGGCAAATGAGATGCATCTCCAAGAAGGGGGTCAAATGAGATGTATCTCCAAGTGACTCACGGGGAGTCGAAGTTGGGGCGCAGAGGTGGCGCATGCTGATTGGAGAGCGGCAGGAAGTCAAAGAGGTCTCGGATCCTGGTGCTAGAGAGAGGGGAGAGCGAGAGAGGAGAGGAGAGGAGAGGAGAGGAGAGGAGAGGAGAGGAGAGGAGAGGAATGGAGAGGAGAGGAAAGGAGAAGAGAGGAGAGGGTGGGAGGGCAGAGAAGGACAGCTCGAGTGGTGGAGTCTCAACACACTTGCGTGCGCCATCAGAGCATCGGCGTAACTCACCCACCACACCACACCCCACCCCACCCCACCCCACCACAGCCTGCAAGGCCGTCCACCTCATTGTCATACGCGAGGAGCACCACTCCACTCCTGGCTTGGACTCTACGCCCGCCTGCTGCCCCTTGTAGGTCATCGTGATGGAGAGGCGTCGGGGGCGCATGACCATACCCACACCACACCTCCCCCCATCCCACCCACCCCACATGACCATACCCACACCACACCTCCCCCCATCCCACCCACACCACATGACCATACCCACACCACACCTCCCCCCATCCCACCCACACCACATGACCATACCCACACCACACCTCCCCCCATCCCACCCACACCACATGACCATACCCACACCACACCTCCCCCCATCCCACCCACACCACATGACCATACCCACACCACACCTCCCCCCATCCCACCCACACCACATGACCATACCCACACCACACCTCCCCCCATCCCACCCACACCACATGACCATACCCACACCACACCTCCCCCCATCCCACCCACACCACATGACCATACCCACACCACACCTCCCCCCATCCCACCCACACCACATGACCATGCCCACAGCACACAGCAGCGCACCTTGCAAGAGCATCGAGTTCGTTGTCATACGCCAGGTGCACCACCCCTGACTTGGACTGCACGTCCGCTCCTCCTAGCTCATCCTGTGGTGTGGGGGAGGGGAGAGTGTGAGGATGCACGCCCGCAACCACAATGCGACTGCTTTTCTACGATTCAAAAACAACACGTCCACAAAAAACGCCCCAAAAAAAATCCCCTAGCTCCTGCTGTGAAAAGAGAGTGTGAGTGATAATGGACAGCACAACCACAACGCGAGTGCACATGCACAAGTGGCACGCATACCCGCGTGACATCCTCGAATGTGACTTGCTTCACCACGTCAGGCCCCGTGACAAACATGTACGCCGTGCCTCGAGTCTGGGGAGGGGAAATGAGGAGGGGGGAATGCAGGAGGGGGGCATGCAGGAGGGGAGAATGCAGGAGGGGGGAATGCAGGAGGGGGGCATGCAGGAGGGGGGAATGCAGGAGGGGGGAATGCAGGAGGGGGGAATGCAGGAGGGGGGAATGCAGGAGGGGGAATGCAGGAGGGGGGAATGCAGGGGCAGGTCAATTGGATAAGAGACAAGAGAGCAGGGAGCAGCAGAGAGCGTGGTTCAGCATGGCAGGCCCCGTCACACACATGAACGCCGTGCCGTGCCACGGGTGTGCGGAGCATTGGAGGGGAGGGGGGTATGAGCAGTGAGCAGCAACGGGCGTCCTTCTCCTCGTCACGTTTGGCCGCGAACGTGTATGCCGTGCCTAGGGCCGAGCGGTGAAGGGGGAGTGGGAAATGAGTGAGTGAGGGAAGCAGGGTGTCGGTCGAATAGGGAGAGCAGGACATGCAGAGAGGTAGAGCAACACATGCACACAAGGGAGGGCATGAAGAGAGGTAGAGCAACACATGCACACAAGGGAGGGCATGCAGAGAGGTAGAGCAACACATGCACACAAGGGAGGGCATGCAGAGAGGTAGAGCAACACATGCACACAAGGGAGGGCATGCAGAGAGGTAGAGCAACACATGCACACAAGGGAGGGCATGCAGAGAGTTAGAGCAACACATGCACACAAGGGAGGGCATGCAGAGAGGTAGAGCAACACATGCACACAAGGGAGGGCATGCAGAGAGGTAGAGCAACACATGCACACAAGGGAGGGCATGCAGAGAGGTAGAGCAACACATGCACACAAGGGAGGGCATGCAGAGAGGTAGAGCAACACATGCACACAAGGGAGGGCATGCAGAGAGGTAGAGCAACACATGCACACAAGGGAGGGCAGGACATTCAACACATGTCAAATGTAGGGAGTGTGGAGAGGTAGGTCAAATGGCTTTAGGGAGTGTGGGGGTGTGGACAGAAAGTTTGATTGAAATATTGAAGGTCGATTGGCAGGCGGGAGGGGCAACCAAGGGAAGGTGCAATATCAGCTGAATTGAATGGAACGCGTGACAGGCAGAACATTGCACAATACCACTCTTCACCGCATCTCCCCACTTTTCACCGCATCTCACCATGGCCACAAAATCCGTGAGAGCAGGCGAGTAGACAGCACCACCTGCAGGGATGGTTGGGGGACATCCAAGGTTAGGAAGAGAGAACACACACACAAGGCGGATGGGTGGACTACATGGAACAGCGAGGTATGGCAAGATATGGCAAGGTATGGCAAGGTACAGTGGGGCAGACAGCACAAGGTACAGAAGAACATCCAATTCCATCTCATCACATCATGCCACATCACGTCACATCACATTACATCACAGCACATGACATGACATGACATGACATGACATGTCATCCCATCCCATCCCCTCCCTCCCCATCCCATCCCATCCCATCCCATCCCATCCCATCCCATCCCATCCCATCCCATCCCATCCCATCCCATCCATCCCAGCCCAGCCCAGCCCACATAAGTGGTGTTCTGCCCCCCAGGCCCCCAGCCGTTGGACACCTGCGCAGGGACCTATGATGAGGGAGAGCTGCGGAATGACTCCCGATGCCAGCACGTTCAGCTGCGAGAGGATGCAGGGGAGGGAAAACCAGGAGAGGAGAGAGACAGGGGGGAAAGGAGGAGAGTCTATCAGCTTCTCTCAACCCACATCACCTGGCCCTGCACGTTGCTAAAGTAAAGTCTACTGCCTGATCAGCGGGCCACCCATCCACCCTCCATGAGTAAAGGAGACCAAAGATCCCGTCAGATCAGATGCCCTCCATTGCCCGTCAGATCAGATGCCCTCCATTGCCCGTCAGATCAGATGCCCTCCATTGCCCGTCAGATCAGATGCCCTCCATTGCCCGTCAGATCAGATGCCTTCCATTGCCCGTCAGATCAGATGCCCTCCATTGCCCGTCAGATCAGATGCCCTCCATTGCCCGTCAGATCAGATGCCCTCCATTGCCCGTCAGTTCAGATGCCCTCCATTGCCCGTCAGATCAGATGCCCTCCATTGCCTGCATACACAAAGAAAGCGACAGGAGCAACTTTGAGTGGAGTGAAACTGACCTGGAAGACGTTGGCATAGCCGGCCAGCGACACAACGCCCTCCTGGATTCGAGCCCCCCCCGGATCGTTGATGCCTATGACCTGAGACTCGTTGATGCATGGCATGGGAAGGCATGTTGTGAGGCAGGACGAGAGGGCGAGGTGAGGGGGTCATGAGTGTGAGAGGGAGGGGATTTGAAACGACAGTAAGCAACTAAGGTGGAGATTGGAGGGGGTTGTGCAAGGAGTACAAAGAACAGGGTTACAGTCTGTCAAAACGAAGTGAATAAAGGATTTCTGTGTAAGAATGGGGATGGAGCAGGGTGGGTCGTGGAAGGAAAGATAGGAATCGGGGAAGACAGGGACGTACAGGTGCTCCCAGAAGCACAAGGAGACGTGGGTCTATTGAGATGGATGGATTGTGGCACACGCACAGCGATGGATTGTGGCACACGCACAGCGATGGATTGTGGCACACGCACAGCGATGGAGGAGGGGTGGTGGGGAAGGGCGGGGGTAGGGCAGGGAGGGTAGAGGGACGTACAGGTGCTCCCACAAGCATTGCCTTCTCCATGATCTGAGCGGGGGGAGGGAGAGAGCGGGAAGGAGGAGAGTGGGGGTTGCACGTGTATCAGTACATGTTGTACTGGTTGTGACTGTATGAATGGATGGAACTGCGTGGGAGTGCGTATGGCATGGGTGGAACAGAGGGAGAGAGACGGGATGCTATGGTGGACCGTGGAGATACCCTGTCACTTCACTACACACACCACGCTCTCCCCCACCATCCTCACCACCCTCCCCGTCATAACCCTTACTCTCTGCCTCGCTTCTTCAACTGGCGGACGATGGGCAGATTCTTTTTAGGTGCAGGGCGGCTGTGCCTTGTTGCACACTCCTCTCCACACACCCTCGCCACCCTCTCTCATCCCTTTGTCTAGCTTGTCCCTTCTTCTTCACCTGGACGCTGGGGAGATGTTTGAGGTGGCAGGTGGCTGTCTCCAAGTGCCCACTTCATTTCATGCAATCCCACGCTCTCCCTCACCACCCTTGACTCCTCTCCCCCCACATCCTCCTCGTCCTCGGCATCATCAGGTGGTGGATGATGGCGAGATGTTTCAAGTGCAGGGCGGCTTTGCGCGCAACATCCTCATTGGATTCGCGGTGAGTCAGTCCTGGTCAATCCTAGTCGATGCATGTGGGTCAATGCAGGTCAACGCTGTCAATGCTGGTCGTTGCTTGTCAAAGCATGTTCTTGCTGGTCAGTGCATGTCAGTGCTGTTCATTGCTGGTCAATGCTGGTCAATCCTGGTCGATCCTGTGAAGCAAGGAAAACAGGAAAAATGAAATGACTAAGGAAAGATTGGGTACAAATACAACCCTAGAAACCCTGTACCCCATATGTGCTACCCCACTATAGCCTACAGCAACTATGTCATATAAATCTGACACACCCCCATAGGCAAAGTGGGGGAGAACAAGGGGTCACAAGACCAGTCAAGCAAAGCAAAGCAAGCTCAGGGTGGATCACAAAGTCACCACACAGTCCGAGCACAAGAGTAGGGCCAGAGGCCAGTTCACATGCAGGAGTGCAGACATATATATAAAACTAGACAAAAAGAGCAGGCAAATATATATGTCACAGTACAAGTGAAGTCAAGAGGAGAGCAAGTGAGGCAAGACAGGCACAAGACCCAGCTGGGTGCAAAAGCGCTGATGGTCACAAGGCGCGAGTGCCTTGGTGAACACATCAGCAGTGTTGGCCTCAAAGGCCACGTACGCAAGTCGCAACTGACCACGCTGCTGCAGCTCACGAGCAAGGAAGTAGCGGAGAGCAATGTGCTTCGTTCTGTGCTCCAAGCGTTGCTCTCGACACAAGGCCAGCATAGCCTTGTTGTCTACGTACAGCACTGGAGGAGAACGAGGCGGCTCTCCAAGGTCAGTCAGCAGGTAGGTGAGCCAGCGAAGCTCCTGTGCAGCCATGGCCCCGGCGTAGATCTCAGCCTCACAACTGGAGCCGAGAACCGAAGACGAGCGAGTAGACCGCCACGAGACAGAGCCGGAACCAAGGCTGAAGGTGTAACCCTGTGACGACCGCTGCGTAGCCTGGTCGTCAACCCAAGAAGCTTCCGCGTGGCCGGTAAGGACCACTGGACTCCGCCCTCCAAGCACTAGCCCCATGCCTGACGTACTGCACAGGTAGCGCAATACCCTCTTCGCTGCAGCCATGTGCTCCGGTCTGTGTCTCCCAGGAGCAACATAGCGTGCAAGAATGCTCAGAGGGTATGCAAGGTCAGGTCGTGTGCAGGTCATCAGGTACATGAGGCAGCCAACAAGCTCTGCATACGGACCACTCGACTCTACGGACTCATCCGAAGGCAGAGCTGAGAGTGAGTGGCGAGTAGGCAGAGGAGTGGCCTGAGGCGAGGAGTACGTGAAGCCGAAGCGCTGAAGGACCTGCTGCACCATGTGTGACTGAGTCAAGGTAATGGTGCGGCGTGCTCTGTCCCGAGTGATCTGCAAGCCAAGGTAGCTGCGCAGTTCACCCAGGTCTGTGCACGTGTGTCTCTTCAGCAGCTCGGACTTCACGTAGGCGAGTCCAGCAGTGTCCGCTGTGGCAAAGACCAAGTCGTCGACGTACACGAGGATGTAGAACGGCGGCAGGGAAGTGTCGGTGCGAAGAAACACCGACGGGTCAGCAGTAGAAGGAGCAAACCCAAGAGCCGCAAGCGTAGTCCTCAGTGTGTCGTGCCACTCACGCGGTGTCTGGCGGAGACCGTAGACTGGCCGTCGGAGGCTCCACTGGGTGCCAGGAGGGAAAGTCCCAGTGAAGCCAGGTGGACGGCGAAGCCAGATCTCCTCGTGCAGGCTACCCTGCAAGAACGCAGTGCTGAAGTCGAGAGAGTGAAGCTCGTAGTCGCGCTGAGCGGCTATGTGCAGCAGCACCCGAAGAGTAGTCATCTTCGGGGTGAGAGAGAAGGTCTGAAAGTAGTCAACTCCCTGCCGCTGACTGAAGCCACGAGCAACGTACCGTGCCTTGAAGACAGGTGGAGAGCCCGGCGGCCGCTTCACCCTGAAGATCCACATGCCACTGACGATGTTCGCCCCAGGAGGGGGAACCGCGTCAACGTAGGTGCCTATGGACTTCCAGGAAGCCATCTCTGCATCCATAGCTGCCTGCCACTGAGAGGAGTAGGGACCCTCTACGGCCTCCGCGTAAGAACGCGGAGTCGGGATGTCTAGTGCATCCGGGTCTCCCTCAGGGGCAAGCAGTACAGACGCGAGATGAGGTGAAGCAGCCGCTAGACACTGTAACTCCTCCTGCCTGTCCTCTAGGACGTCCGTGCCAAGAGCACACTCACCCCCGACGGACGGAGGACAGACAGACGCAGACTCAGCAACAAGACTAGCAGCGTAGTCGAGACGACAGCGAGCAGCAAAGTCAACGAGCTCAGCGACCAGAGCAGACGCAGCAGTGGACTCAAAAGAGGGGTCAGTGACGACAGTAGCAAGCAGACGCGTGACAGTAGGACTCGCAGCGCGAAGAGAGTCCGACGCAGGGTCGGCAAGCGCAGGAAGAGAGGACTCAGGAGGAGAAGGCAAAGGGGCACGCAGAGGAGCAGTGGACGGACGAAGAGACATCCGGTGCGTGCCAGGGACAGGAGGAGGACGCTGACGCGAACTGCGACCACTAGCGCGAGCAGCACGAACAGGCGACGCGGGACGAGACGCAGGCTCACGACGCTCAGCAAGACCTCCAGTAGGACCAGTGTAAGGAGAGGGAGCAGGCAGTGGAGAGGAAGGCTCCAGTAGGGACTGCGACTGGACAGGCGGTGGACCCTCTACTGGAGGAGAAAGACCAAGAACCTGCTGGAGGAGCGGAACGAAGTACGGCCGAGGCCGCGCGGCAGCTCCAGACTCAGCAGGGACAGCACCAGCACCCTCAGCGACAGCACCAGCGCCACCCACACCTCCAGCGGCAGGACCAACAGCAGCAGGCTCAGCACGAACGCCCTCAGCAGCTCCAGCTCCAGAAGGACCCGCAGGTCCAGCAACTCCAGGACCGGCAGCACCCGCACCCTCGACGGTCGAAGAAGCTCCAGCTCCAGCTCCAGCGGCACCTCCAGACTCAGCAGCACGCCTCCAGCGGCAAGCGAATCACTCGCGCAGCTCCTGTGGAGAGAGGGGCTCCCGGCGAGACGCAGCAGCAGGAGAAACCCCAGGCTCAGCAGCTCTAGGCGCAGCACCCCCAGGCTCAGCAGCTCCCAGCTCAGTGCCCCCAGGCCCAGCAGCTCCCAGCTCAGCACCCCTAGGCTCAGCAGCTCCCGACTCAGCACCCCCAGGCCCAGCACCTCCAGGCACAGCACCCCCCGGCTCAGCACCCCCAGGCTCCGCACCCACCGCAGTAGCACCCTCAAGCCCAGCACCCCCAGCAGTAGCACCCCCAGGCTCAGCACCCCCGCGCACAGTACCCCCAGAGTCAGCACCCCCAGGCTCAGCACCCGCAGCAGCACCAGAGTCACCAGTAACCTCGACCGGGTCAACGGCGTCTACCTGGGACACACCTGAGGGGGCAGGAACCTGAGGGGGGAGGGGGTCTACCGGGGGGGGAACCGGCACAAGGAAGTCCGGGGGAGGGGGAAGGGAAGGAGTGCGGTAGGGGAAGAGACGGTAGAAGGGGACGGACTCATCGAACGTGACGTCCTGGGAGGATAGAACACGACGAGAGGAGGGGTGGTAAAACTGCCACCCTGGGGCGTCAGTGGGGAAGCCAAGGAAGACACAGGGAGCAGCACGAGGGGACAGCTTGTCCGCAGACAAGTCGCGGACAAACGCCCGAGATCCCCAGACACGGAACACAGACGCATCGCCAACCTTCCCCGTCCACAGGAGGACTGGGGACATTGCAGGCCGAGAGACCCGGGGGTGAAGGTTGAGCTGATGCGCCGCGTACCTCACCGCAAACGGCCACAGAAAATGGGGGGCAGCCGCATGCATCATGGACGTACGAGCGACATCCATGACCATGCCAATGCGGCGCTCAGCAATCCCATTTTGCTGTGGTGAGTCCGGAAGCGTGAAGGTCTGGCGGATCCCCCATGCACGACAGTAGTCTCGCAGAAGGC